GACGTCGAGCTGCCGAGTTCAGTTCAACCTGGCGAGCGCAGCGTGGTGAACGCTGCGCAATGTGTTGAGCGGTTAAATAAGAAAAGTGACACCTACAACAAGTAGGAAAAATCCCAGCTAGTGTTCTGCGCCAGCCGTTCGAGTGTTGCCAAGCGCCAGTGTGGCCAGCTCTGTTCCTGCTGTTGCTGCTGCTGCTGCTGCCGCCGCTGCCGCGTGGCATTTCGAGTACAACATATGGCAGAACAGCATCGATGCCAAAATGCAGCGCGCTTATCATGAGACCATTGCGCACCAGCAACTGTGGTAAGTCACGGGGAAAAGCTGGGCAGTAAAAGTAAGGAAAACTTAAAGGAAAACTAAGAAAGAAAAACTTAAGTCCAAAAACTTTGCAAATTTTCTTCAAAGTTTTTATTTTTCCTTAAGTTTACTTTACTTTTGTTACTTTTTGCTCTCTTTTTTGTGGGCTTCCGCTCACTTAGAGGAGATTTTAAGGGCTTTTACGCTGAAAAGTATGCAGCATTTTCTCTTTTTTCATGCTAATTTGCGAGTCGCCATTTTGTGCGATCGCCTGAAAAGTATGCAATGGCATTTTTACAATGAAAAATACAAAAACTTGATTATGCGCTTGAAATCCAATTAAAATGCAAATAAATTCCATTTAATTATATAATTAGCTTTTACTTGTGCTGCAATTTGCGCTGTGAAAATTGTGAAATAGCTTGGAAAATTCACGCATATGTGCACCAATCAATATTATTCATAAATTAATGATAAAATTACGCATTCATTATATAAATATGACAGGAGCAATATACATATACATATATATATATATATATATACACAAAAATCCACCCATTCGTATAAAATGTAACATGTATCAATTTCCTGTTATCAACCAGATAAGAAACAGCTATAGATACACGCGCTACAGGTACAGATACAGATACACACACAAAGGTGCTATGCAACTGTGGGTCTCAGTTGCAGAGGGGAAATCGCCCTTCCCCCATCCTCCTCCCCCTGCACCAACTGCTCTCCAAGCCCGCCCGCCCCCAATTGTTGTGCAAACTGCGCAAATGGTGATTTTTGTTGTTTTTCTTTTCTTTTTTTTTTGGAAAACATCGAACGTTGATTTCCAATTGATATGCAATTTTCCTGCTGCGTCAGATACGCAGTTACAGATACAGATACAGATACATATATGAAAATTCACGGGCCTGTCGTCGGCCACATTAATATGATTATCAGCAGACAGCGGGAATAATAAATCTGACATTGCTTTTCATATATGAATTCATTAAAGTTTCCTCGGAAAATGCATACACAATTTTCCCAATGAATTCGGGGGCGTGTGCTGCGTGGGGGCTGCGTGGGGCACCCTTTGATTGCAGTTGCCCAGGACAACAGCAACAGGAGCTTTCCCAGGACTCGGCTGCTTTGTAAGCGGCTTTGCCAGCGACCAAAGCGAATCCCATCCTATTCATTGGCGCAGGATGTGCACAATTTCCATGCACTTTTCTCTCAAATTCAACATACATTTTTTTGCCCAAGCTGCTCGCTTCTAATTTAGAAATGTGAGCGGAGGACGGGGAGGGCAGCGCATAACAGAATACAACTAGAAAACTGAAATACTCGGAAACAGCTTAAAAAGCAACTTAAATGATTTAAGCCAAATAGTACGCTCCGTTAGCTGAAAGACGAAAGCGTAAAAGTTTTCCAAATCAGCTTATTAGGTTTATGGTCCCTCTCCCTCTCGCATTCCCATTACTTTCAAAATTTAAAGACTTTCAATTTGCAAAATGTTTTTACAATTTTCCGAACAGGCAAAACTTGCAAAGTAAAACAAAAGTCAAGATTGCACACTTAATTCTTCTACTTCCCTTACTGCCATGTACTGAATGGAGATATGTCGGCGGAGTTATGAATATTCCTGCTTATCTTGTTCACATTATGCCCAAAAATTGTATTTCATTTGTTATTCAATTTGCAATCATTCAAAATCGATAAGTATCGATACTGTGAGGTTGAAAGAACTCGTTCTGCGTCTGTTCTAGAAATGCAAAGCTGAATCTGTGCTTAAATATTGAATTTCTTTTGATATTAAATACAAAATTCTTTGCTGCTTTCCAAATTAAGCAAGAAAATGATATTTTAAAGGACATCCTGTGGACCCTTTTGTTAATTTCGAATCAAAGTAAAGTAAAGGGCGGACCAGAAGGGATTACCTCATGCGGCGAATTGCTGCACACTGAGAGAATGTGTTGTAAAACAGCTGGAGCCAGCCCGACAGCCAGTTCTTCGCACACAAATCATATCCAATTGCCACATTGAGCTGGCGGAAAGAGCTTATCTAATTGCTTTTCATTTTTCGCACGGAACGGAAATGCCTTCTTCTAGCATATACTTGTGCATATATTTGTATATTTATAGAAATAAAAGTCAGATAAAGGCAATTTGTTATGCCTCAAAACATTGACCGGATGTTGCCCCAAATAGCCCTCCGATTCAAACTCGAAATTCGCTTAGCTGTCTTTTTTTTTGGTGCACAATAATGTGGCACCAAAGAGCTCTAAAGTGCCAGGTGCGATATGCGCCGCACTTCAGGCTCAGCTGTGCGACCTGTGACCCGACGGCAACTAAGCATTTCGCAGGCATTCCGATTGGCTCAGCAGTAAACGAATATTGAAATATACTGAGACGACGTCAAGTGATGAACTGCCTGCTCAGTAGAGCCCATAAAAATGTTAGCTGAATGCGTACACTCAGCGAAAAACGATGTGCAGTACATGTTGTGCTCTAGTATTCATCTAATTAAAACCTCATGCTTATTTTACAAAAAAAACTAATCAAATGAAGTGAAGAATTGCCCTTACTTCATTTAAGCATAATACACTCTTAATATGAGTAGAATTAAAACACGAATTAAGCAATGCATTTTGAGTCTTTTTTTTGGGAGGCATTTCGAGCTTAAGAGCAACAATTTTTGCGTGCTCCGGAAATTTGTACCTTGGAAAACCAAATTGAAGCAGCAAATTCTTGGCTTATTCGCTGAGTGTACTCTCCAGCCCCGCCCACACGCCCACACGGCCGCCTGTTGTCAGTTCTGGTTTCATGCTCGGACGCACAGCAACTGTCCGTCCGGTCCAGGCAAGAGGCACAAGACAAAATCCTTTGCGGCTTTTGGTCAAGAAATGCGCAACGAAATCAACTTGAAAGCGTTGAAAATCTGATTTCAAAAATCTGCAAAAAACTCCACAACAGCCCAAGTCTCAAAGGCACAGCAAATATTTCAAAGAAAATAAGCCGCAAAATAAAACATAAATGTTCAGCAACAACCAACTTGAAATTCTTTGGCCGGAGCCGCGCCTCCGCACGCCCAACCGCCCACCAAACTTTCTGGCTACTTAAGCTGTTTACTCAACCGTAAGACGTACCTGGCCATGTGGCCAGGTGTTGCCAGCTGCCACGGAATCTGGCCATCTGGCCCACTTTGTGGCACGGAGCTGTCAATTGATTTCGTATTGCGAACGCGTCGACCGAACGCTGATTAAAACTCTGCGCACCTAACTTAATCAATTTCCGTTTCAATTTACGCGCGACTAGCAATAGAATACAAAATGTTTCTTTGATATGATTCTATGAAAGTTTTAAAAATCTATTGTTATAGGCAGTGGAAGGTTTTCCTACATAGAGTAGTCTCTAACCTTCTATTGAGCCTCTGCGAGCTCAATACGTATTAGGGACGACAGAAATTTGTGGCTAGTTGAAATTTTGCGAGAATTTTCAATTTGTATATTCATGGTCTGTTATAAATCGCAAAGAAAGAGGCAAGACAAATTTGATTTGGGTGCACTTTGGAAGGATTTGTATCTGCCTGACGCGAGCTATAAAACAAATTTCGATTTCGATTCCACTTGAATTTTTCACATTATACACAAGACTCTTACATATTATATTATTATTAATATTATATACGTATATTTATTTGATTTTTGGTGCTCAATTATAAATACATATCTCAATTATAATATGCGTTGTACCTTTGAGCAGGACATTACATAGTCGAGCACTTTTTGGTATTATTTTTGGTAATTTTCACGCTCGAAATTGTTGGGTCGTGCCCGTGGGCAGGGCAGGGGTCTTGAGAGTCTGGCCGCAAATGGGAAAACTAAAGACCTCTTTATGGCTGCTGGCGACAGCTGCAAATTGAATGAAATTAAGCCGAAAGTTAGAGCCCGCCATTTATTAAGTGGCTTTGCAGGACGACTGCCTGGCGACAGGATGTCAAAAGAAGCAACAGCAGCAGCAGCAGCAGCCGTCCGCCAACAAAAGCCATTTTAATTGAATGAAGTCCTTTTGAATGCCACCAGCACCTGGCAACAGCAACAAAAACAACAACAACAACAACAACAACAACAACAACATCAGCCAACTGGAAAGCTGATTACTTACACTCTGCCACAAACAATGCAAATTTGCAAGTGATAAAAGCTCTACTACGGCAAAATTCGCATAGATAAATACTTTGTTGGGAAAGCTGGAGTTGAAGCCGAGCAACCGGACCGAGTCAGGAAAAGCGCAACGATTACAGCTTCACAATTGAAAAAGCAGAATAAAGAAATTACATTTGAAAAATAATATAAAAATTAATTCATCAGTTAAACAAGCAAGAAGTGCTGCGAGGGTATATATAAGAATGTCGGGCAATAAAGCCACACTTTTCCACCCATTTTCCGGCCGTGGCGAAATGAATTTTAGCGTGTGTTTCTCATATGTTTCATATGCTACTCAAACGATTCCATCGGGGAGACTTTAAAAGCTAGATCTATGTAGGCTCTCACATAAGTAGGTACCCAGACTTATATCATGATTATAATATGATTATAATATGTTCCATACCAAATAATCTCGCTTTCTGTTGGCAAGAGCTAACCAACATCGGGTCAAATACTTGATTTACAACATTTTTATGAAATTCGTGCTATATTTGTGGATAGTCATAAACCGTCGACCGGCATCCATCGCATTTTTTTTTGAATTTTTATCCGTTTAGATACATCAAATATGAAATGTTCCTTGCAAATATAATTGAATATTGATAAAAAATTTGAAAACTTGACCCGATCCGACTCTTCGATTACTTCACAATAACAATAACACACTGGAGAGCTGGAATGTGTTACTCCCCCAATTTAGTTGCCCTCTAGATGTCGACGCCCACAGTTAGCTCCATGATGGCATTGACCACATCGCTCTTGTGCTTGATCAGCGCCTTGATGGCCGTTTGGCGCGTGCAGCCGGCCTGCATTTGCACCAGCTCGATATCCTTCTCGTCCAGAGCATTGCCGAGTGCATCAATGTCGACGTCAACGTCCTCGTCCTCATTGGTGGCCAGCAGCGGATCTCTGGCATCGTTGACCAGCTGCGGTGCACGCACATTCACATCGTTGATGTAGCGCTCGGCTGCCTGGGCGGCGGCTGCGTTTGAGGTATTCTCGATGCGCACCTCTCCGAAGCAGATGAGGGTCTTGCTGTTGGGGCACTTGTACACCTCCGGCTGATCGATGCAGAGCAGCACGTTCTTGGCCTTGCGCATGGTCACACGCGAGACATTGGCCACCGGCTCCAGGTCCAGTTTCATGAGCAGGCGACGCGCCTTCTTCTCGCCGCGCGAATATTTTGGCGCCGAGAGCAGCTCGGCGGGCACATCCGTTGACAGTTTCTGCTGTCGCTGCGGTGCCGACTGCCCGACTCCCCCTGCTGCTGCCTGTTCTTCTTCAGATGGCGCCGGATCGGGCGCATCATCGCTGTCAGAGCTGTCCGAGGCCGATGAGCCGGAGCCGGATGATGGCTGATTTTTGCGTGTGCCGCTTGGCAGCGTTTGCAAATTCTCGGCCAGGCTCATCAGATTTTGCATATTGTTATAGATGGCCCGTATGTCTGGCTTTTGGTTGCTCTCATCGCTCTTGTTCTTGTTCTTGCTGTTGTTTTTGTTGTTGTTGTTGTTGTTGTTGTTGTTGCTGCTGCTGCTGTTGGCCTCGACAGCTGGAGCTGACTGTGCGGCTACGCTGGCAGCGGCCTTGGCAGCTGCGGCTGCCTTCTTCATCTTTTGTTTTTTGCCCATTTTCAAGCTCTTTTCTTTTTAGCAGAAGTTCCAAATAGTTTTCGCCTCACAAATATTGACGAGCTGCAATTTATTTCAACAAAGTTCCGTTCACAAAATTTTAATAATTTTTATTATTTTCTTTTTCCCCCGTCAACTCGGAAAATTCACTTGCCTTTGGGAGACGTCAACGCTTATCGTAAGTTTCGATTACAAGAGAAAAGGGCTCACTCGGTGCGTTAAGTTGGCTGCGTTGGCGGCAGTGTTGTAAGTGTGCGGCGCTTGAGCAGTGTTGGTAAAAAATAAAATAAAAATGCCTCGATCTGGCACGTTTTTCACTCGAAAACAAAATGTACTTGTCACCAAAAATTATTGGAAAAATTACATTTTTCAAAGTAAGTTTAGTTTTTCTTTTTATAGTTCAGCATATATATTAAATAATGCATTTGACAATGGCATAAGTACTCGCGTGTAAATTTGCTTAAAAATATTGAAGAGTACTATCTAGTACTATAGCCAGAAAAATATCAATAATCTTAATCTGATCGGGATGGGGTAGTGTTGTATAGTGACAGATGAATGCCGATTAACGAAAAGAAGAGAGTTGAATATTTTGACTTATTGGAGTTTAACAATGTTGTAAATTGTGTCGTGTTTTTGTTCGGCTTTAATACAACGTAAAAAACATTTTCTTTTTCAAGGATATTTTTTCTCCAATATGATGGTGCCCATATGGACATCGCTGACATTCAGTATCCAGATTAAGTTTCAGTTAAGGAAAACCATAACATAATTGAATTCTTATTTTCTTTGCATTTTCCTTCAACACAATTACTTAACCCTTCACTTTCTATTGAGATCAGCCGAGGTCAGTGTTGGAAAACGCATAAAACGTTCCGCACCTAGTATCGAGTGCAAAAAAGTAATCATTCTTAGCATTTTGTTTGCCTAATTGGATTAAAAGTTTTGCATCTGCATTTGACAGCGAATACATGAAATTTGTAGAACCAAATCCAATAAAATTTGCGGCTATCGCAGCGAATTTGATTGAAATTGATGATTGAGCCAAAATATGCAAGGCGAGGACACGTTGCGGCTGCGAGAAGCCAATTGCAAGGAGTAGAAAACGAAAAGTGGAAAGGGAAAATGCTGCTCGTGACAAAAGGGAGACTGACTCGCTGTGTTGGGCAGAGGCGTGCCGAGGGAAGGAGCGGTCGCTTTAGAGGTGCATTCTGCAAGTTGAGTGCGAATTTAATGCGCGTCGCTTCGGGGCGCAATATGCGCGGATAAAAGCCAAACGGATGTGACTAGAAAGGCAATGGGTTTGCCAAACGGTGCTCAGTGTGGCACAGGGTGTAGGGTTGGGCAGAGGGGTAGAGGAGGGTCGGGGCGTTGCACATTGTGTGGACGGAAGTGGAGCGCACAATGCACAAAAAGGCGAAAAGCAAGCCAAGCTGCATTGCAGCCGGTTGACAAGCGCAACAAATGTATTTTAAAGTAATTTCCTTGCATTTTAATTGCAGCAGCGCTTGCAACGAGGCGTGTGCGGCAGTAGCAGGGCGAGGTGGGGCGGCGTGGGAATACTTTCTGTACGCTACCCAAAAAATAATGCAAAAACAAACAAGCCCATCCTGCCAGCTGCTCTGGCAACTGCGGTTTTTTTTTTTGTGGCATGCGAGAATATAAGAGATTAAAGGGGAACAAATGCTTCAGATAGACGAGGAAAGGGAGGGAGGGGAGGAGCGAGGGTCTGGTATTCCATGCCATTGTGACATTGTGTGCATATCTGTATGCAACCGGCTAAAAGCCGCACATTCACTTAATTAAAAAATGGCCGCGACCTATTAGGCGCCGCGGCACCTACTTCACTTGTTGCCGCGGCACGCTTGAAAATTTATTTCTTTTTTTTAAATGTAAGATATGCAAATAGAATGTCTTGGGCTTGTCTAATTAAATTGTTGCATGTTCTATAGAGCGCTAATGTTTTTAAGTGAAGCTTTCGCAAGCTTAAAGCTTAATTAATTGTAGCTAATTAGAATAAGATCAGTTAATGTGCTTTGCAAGCAGTTAAACGAAGGGATTATAAGCGAGCTTTAAAATTACTTTCTGTAAAGAAGCTTTTAAAGCTCATCAAAGCTTGACGTCTGATTGATGATATGTATGTCCATCCATAAGAGTAGCTTTGAAAGCTCTTTGAAGTTTTGCATAGCGTCAGAAGCTTCTGAAAGCTTGCATCTTAGCTGATTGTATCAATTTTGTTTATTTTTGCATTGGACGCACATAGGTGTAAAGTATATTTGAAAGCTCATTCAAGCTTTAAGCTTAAACATTATATTTTAGGCATATGTATGAAGCTTTTAAAGCGTCCGAAGGCATTTTTACTCATACTACGCATAATGGCTTAAAATTAGTTTTGAAAGCTCCAGAAAGCTTTACTTTCAATTAATTGTTACTTTAATTTAGGCAAATTTTGTAAAGTTGGTCTTTAAGTAGAGGAATATATATATATATATTGATTTGCTCTGAAAGCTCATGAAAGTTTTAATCTATAAAAATAAGTTATTTCTTCGGTTCTTGCAATTGACAAAAATAGCTATAAAATAAATAAAAGCTGCCATTTGTTAAGACTCGCCTGGAGCTTACTTAAAATACTTTGCATTTTGTGGGAAGCAATCAAATCGAATGATGAGTTCTCCACCATATCAAATAAAGCTTAAGCAATTTTTAATGGATGAGTGCTTAGCAAATGGATGTCGAGTTTATTTATGGTCTCCGGCAAGGCCAGGGTCGGCACTTGGTTGTTTTTATAGCTCTGGCACTTTGTTTGTGTTTGTCTGTGTGCTTGTGTATTTTTACTTTTTTATTATGATATTTTTTTCTATTTATTTTCCTTGTTGCATTCGCTGATGCGTTTTTAATTGCACGACATTTTTAATTAAAGCGAATGACAAGGGAGAGCGGCGGACATTACAAAGTGAAATACTCAACGTTTTGCAATTATTAGAGTTGATTGCCAGGTCGACTGCATAAATTAACAAACAGGAAAAGGAAATGGCAAAAGGCAGCAAGAAAGTCGCATAGATGCGGCTGTCCGCTGACGTCACTCGATTAAATTGAATCCTAGTGGGCAGCTAATCAAATATTCCCTTTACGGGCAATAAATTTATACATATTAGTGGGCAATATTATAAAGAGCTTAACGAAGTTTTCCTCGGCCAACAACTTTGCCCGCGGGCCTCTTAGGTGGGCGTTGGGAAAACTTTGGGGCCGGCACGTTCGAGCGATGATTAATTATGCCGCCGCATATGTTGCAATGTCATGCGGCATTGGGGCGCCATGGGCTCGTTCAACTTATTGAAGCTTAGTTCTGTTTAGTTTTTGCACAGCCAGCGGCAACGAGCGGCGCATGAAAAATGAATCGAAATGCCCAAGACGCAGCCAATGGCAAAAGGAATTCGAGTCATCGCCAGGTCCTGGTCCTGGGGAATAACTATGTCAAGGCAATATAGTCCTGTCCGGGGCAACGAATCTGTGAGCACATTAATCATCTAGCTTATGCGAAATGATTGCCTACACATGATCCGACTGCGACCAGATACACATGCCTACATACCATATATACATAAATATAAACTCTGTCAAGGGGTTTGACTTGTGTGTCAACAAGAAAGGTCCACAAATAAACTTGAATTTATTCCGCGAACTTTGAGTATTTGCCAGTAGCAAATAGCAAACAGAATATGTAATTACGAGTGTATTCATTTTATTCGCTTTCACTCAATTTTACAGCTGGCGCGGAGGCAAACAACTGAACTTTGCTGGCATCTACTTATTAGCTTAAATACTGATTTACAAATGGGCTTTCACTTTGATTTAATTCTGTTTTCTATTTTGAAATCTCTTGTCCATTTTCAGATTTTATCCTTTCGGAATTTCAATAGAAAATAGTTATAATTTTATCCTGTGTGGCACATCCCCTATAGTATATACATATCTCTCTATATACAACTCCCCTGACTAACTGATCGACTGACTGATTGGTGATCAACGCACAGCCCATATCGTACACACACATACATACATGCATAAATTCACACATACATACATACATATTTGCATGCATACATACATACATGCATGCATACATACATACATACATAGATACATACATACATACATACATACATACATACATGCATACATACATACATACATACCTACATACCTACATACCTAAATACCTCCTCCTGCTGCTCTTCCGCCATGCTTCTCCGGCTCCTCAGCTTCCTGAGCCTAATTCATTGGTGAAGCCTGCAAGCCTTACTTATGTTTTTGAGAATCGAGGAGGAGGGCAGCTTTAATAAATACGTTTTTCTATTATAATTTGCCGCGCCATAAGACAAATCGGTCTGCTATTGGTATTTTATAAGAATATTTACATGCATACATACATAAATACATATATACTCACACACATACATGCATAAACACATTAACACATTCATACATGCATTCACTCATTCATACATGCATGCATATATAGACACATGCATGCATTCATACATGCATACATACATAAAGACATACAGACATGCATACATACATATGTACATACAAACATACATATGTATATACAAAATAAATTTGAAATCTAAAGCTGGCAACATCATTCTTGTATATAAATATTTACAGCCCAACTGATGTGTGATGTGATGAAAATGAGACTCTCATTCATCCAGATTTCATCATGAAACTTTTCATAGAGCTTTCCTGTCAGTTACAGGCAGTATATATATATTGGAATCGGGCGAATCGAATCGTTATTCGTTTCTTCTCACAGAGCTTTAATATAATTCTCTATCTTTTGCTTTGTTTTATAAAAAGGAGTTCTACGTTTAACATATCTTTGGGTCCAAAAGTGCTATTAATTTATTTTCATTCACTAAATTAAGGCTTTGACCTATCAGTAACTACTTATATTGGACATACCCTTATCCATTCTTAGGCAAAGTGTCAAAAAAAAGGCAGCTAAACATTTGGGCTATTCCCACGCACACATTTATTGAGTCAATACAAATCTTTCCTTTGTTTATTTAATAGTTGTTCTTTCTTTTGGGGATTTTTCTGTTGGGCTAGATTGACAGGTAATTGCATTTAATTCTGTCGCTTTTTGTGGCCTTCATCACATCGCTGGCGACATTTGCCTTAAGCCCAAAACAGATTTGTGTGTAGCCGGGCGACAGTTGATGAGTCCCAGTCTTCGTCCCAGTGTTTAACAATAATACGTAAAGTAAAGCGCGTGTTTCGTGGAAATATGTGAGATAAGGCAAAAAAAAGGGACCCAAAATAGGTGCCAATGGGGCTGGGGGAGGGTGGAGCTTCAGGTAACGACCAACTGAAGCCCATTGAAGCGGCAAGGAAAATCAATTTCCTTTTGGGGCGCAGCTCCTGGCGCTTTGGCAAAAAGAAGCCTGACATTTATTACCATATAAACAGCATGAATTATTCGTAAGAGAGCACAAAAGCAGCGGAAACTGCAGCGCAACAATGCTGAACAACTTCTTCGTCCTTCCACTTGTATCCGACTCGCAAGGCTGCGGATGGATTGTGTATTGTGCATATTGAGCGAAATATCGTAAATTTATATGCGTATATATATATATATGGCAATGCCGGAAAAACGAAAAGTTGTTTTTCCTCCCCCGCCATAGAATACGCTTAAATGCAATTCGAAGCCCACGCACAGTGGTTCGAAAACTTCATAATCATAACTGTTGGTTGGCGCTCATCAAGATGATTCTTCGTGTCATCGTGCGAATGATAAATGTTGAAAATTGTAAAGTTTTTTGCCAACATTGCGTGAATTTATCATTTTTTTGCCGACAGCTGGGAATCCTGTTTACAAATTATGCCACAAATGTGGGCAAAATGATAAACGCGCCGAATGAAAAGCAACTGGGCTAATGAGGCAATATCTTTGGTTAGATAAGATTCAAAGAGAATGATGGATTTTGTGCCCCTTACATCTCACACACTTTTGCAACACTTCATCCTAAGTCCATACTGGAGCTTTGGATTGCTTCATTTGTCCTGCTTGAAGTTTATCGTATTTACACTTAATCTTCGAATCGAATAAAACTAGCTGTAGCATGTCTTCTTTTAAACTTTCTTCTGTAACAAAAATTCAGTTCTGTAAATAAAAACTCATTCTTTTGATAAACTTATTAGCTCATAACAACTGCACTCAATTAATTTTAGTTTCGAGTACATTTTAGTCCCAAATTGATTAACCTAATGCAAATGATGTTGAATGCCACTGTGCTCTGTGCTCAAGTTCTCAATTCTCAATCAAATCCTTACCCAATTTCCTCTAAGCCGAACTGCATTTAATGAAAATTTCGTTCAATTTTATATTCTACTTTTTGCTGACAGGTGGGCCGATTATCATGGCAAGCAATGTACAACAACAGCAACAACAGCGGCAGCAACATACAACAACTAGAGCACATCAGCAGCAGCAGCAGCAGCAGCCGCCAGAAGCAACAACAAGCGCAGCAGACAACTGCGAGGAGCAACACGAAGGAGAATGGTCTAAGCTGCGACAGCAACAACAACAACAACAACAACTGCAGCAGGAAGAACAGCAACAACAACAACAACAGCAGCAACAGCAAGAACAACAGCAACAACAGTTGTCCCGGCGTGCTCAGGCGGCGTCATTGCCGTCGCAGCGACGTCGCAGCCGGCGTCGTCTACTAAACGGTAGACGGTCGGCAGCATCAACGGGGCGTGGCTGCGGCCTGAGCCGCCTATGCTGTAAGCTGGACGTACTGCGGCAATCGGCGAGGCAGCTGCAATTCGCATCCCTGGAGGCGCTGCTGCTGCTGCTGTTCCTGGCCTTGCATGGAGATACCGTACAGGCGGAGGGCAATGTTGGTAAGTACCAAAAAAACACACAGTTTTCAACACTGCCGGCGGGAGTTTGCTTTGATGTGTTGTTTCTGTTTCTCTCTTTTTTTTTTTTTACTCTCTCTCTGTGGCAACAACAATTTACAAGTTTAATTAAAAGTTTGACGCAAAACTAAATCCAAATGCCCCACAGAGTGAACCTCCCCCGCCTGCATCGCAGCAACCACTTCACACGTTTTTAACAAGATTTTCAATGCAAATATGTTTTTAACTAGTTGGTGCATATACCAAAATTCATATGTATGTGTGTGAGTGTGTGTGTGTGTGTGAGTAGTTGGATTATGGCCATCACCTGATCATTGGGCCAGAAACCGAGAAACTGCAACGGACTAAGCGAGTTACAGTTGTTAAATCAAATTATCGTTAACCAAAACTGAACTGACATTTTGTGTAGCACTCGCATGGCGTACAGTTCTGTCAAAACGCATTAAGTGTTGTGAAATGTTACACCGCATTACGGTGCAATGCATTATTGAGCAACTTGGGTGTTTATGGTCGAATGCTCATGAAATCCAGGCTCTTAATGTGACAGCAAATAGTGAGCACACAGCGTGTGCGTTAGAAATGGGTTCTTGTTCACTTTGAGTGGAAGAAGGGAAGCTATTCAAAAAGTAAAAGATTATTAATCTATATAAGAACATTGTACGAGAACGAACATATTAGGCTTCAAGTAAATAGCTCTTAAAATATCAAATTCGATACTTATCGATATTATGAAAATGAGCAAATATTTCGATAAGAAATATATTTTCATCTTCATAGAAGATTATTGAACTAAGGGTTTCGGCAGATCCCAATTAATCTAAAAAATGCTCCTGGAAAAGTTTTCTGGTTCGACTTGCTTCAAAGTAAATGCACTTGCGATTTTTTTAAATATTTGATTGTGTTCATAAACTTTTCACACATCTAAAAACAACTCAGTTGCAGATTGTTATGCACATGAACCAATGCGCATCAGTCTAACGTAATGCACACTTTTGCATAATGCATTGTTCAGCTCTTGTACGTGGTCCGTTTAGGCAGGGCAACAACTGTTAACTGACGGCACGTGCACCTGGCCAGCTCTTGGGCTCAACTGTACTTTTCCATTAGGGCGAAAGCAACAGCAACAGCAAGAGCAAGTGCAAATGAAAATGAAACTGTGTCTGGGACCTGTATCTGGATCTGCTGCTGTGCTACCCCCAAAAGGACCAACAGCTCAAAGTCCGGTAGTCATAGCAACAACCAGTTGCTGCTGCAAATTTGCAGCTTGGACGTCAGCAATCACGCAACCCACGCAGCAATATGTGGTGTGTGTGTGTGTGGGGGTGTGTGTGTGGGGGGTGTGTGTATGTGTGCATTTATGCATTGCCCTGTGCAAATATCAACAGGAGCCAGGTCCTGGGATTTATTGATTGCCAACTGCTGTCGCCAGTCTGTGTGTCGCCCACGCATCCGGTTGCCGTAGCTGCTGCTGTTGCTGCTGCTGTTGCAGACTCTTGTAGATAAATGAACTGACATTGCATGCTGTGGGCTGACTGTGCAACACACACATAAGCTCACATACTGATATGAGAGGTGGCATTGTTGTTGTACGTGTCATGTATAAATTAGTAAGCAGGTTGCATTATCAGCAACTGCAACGGCAACGGCAACAACAGCCACAACAGCAGCAACATTATCATTAGCCGTAACTAGCGCAAAGCAGCAGCACTCGAGTTTGCAACTTTTGCACTGTTTGAAGCATAAAATTTAATTAACAGCTGCTACGGATGGGTTGCAAGCGTGGCATGTTGCTGCCGTTGCTGTAGCTGCTGCTGCTGCTGCTGCTGTTGCTGCTGCTGTTGCTGCTGCTGCTGCTAACAGTGTGACCAACAGCAGATTGAACTTTCGCCTGGCTGGCTGTCAGCCAGTGGCAACAACAACTTCATTAAGCTGACAGCAAAACCAAAGGCGAAAACTTTTGCTGCCTGTCGACACGGCAGCAACTGTTGTTGCTGTAACTGTCGCTGCCGTTGTTGTTGCTGCTGCATTTATTCATTTTCATTTGAAAAGCAAATATTTGTGCGCAGCATCTTTTGCAATTGTTGTTGCTGTTGTGCATTTTCCATATTTTTTCGCAGTGCGGCACATTTAATGAAATTCCAGCCCGAATTCAAATTCAAATTGAAAAACTGCAAAAAAAAGTCAACAACAACTACAGTTTTGTTGTTCTCGCTCTGTCATGCTCGCATCTATTTGTCATGAATTATTAATTAGTTCATTCGTGCAAAAATATTTCAAATAAATGCAGCGCTAATGGCATTTGCATGTCCCACTTAGCACATTGCGTATACGCCGTGTGGAGCTTCGCAAAAAAACAACATTTGCCAATTGAAAGCCACGCACGTAACCTAATCTGATTTTCAACTCTTTTCACAGCCCATTTCCATTCTTTTTTTTATATATTTGTTGCAACGTATTGTGGGTGGAGCGGCAGGGGCGTGGCTGGCGGCAAAGGCTGCGACCACAAAGTAATTTTAAACAAAGCGCTTTGTTATTATTTTTATTGATGCGTTGCTTTCGGCCAATGAATGATTTTTATTAGAGGTGTAAATTGGTTTAAAATTTCTTTAGCTCGATTTTCAATTTATTTGATTTACAGTAAAAAAAATATAATAAAATAAATCAGAGAAGCAAAAAACTCAAAAAGCACAAATAAATACAATTTTACTCTCCATTTTCTTTATGTATTTTTCCTTATTCGAAAAAATAGTTCAATTTTTAATTCTCAGCACTTTTTTATGAGTTATTTTGTACAAAATAATTGTCAAAACTCTGTAATATTAGTGAACTTCTTTTCTGTTTTTGCTTTAACATATTTTGAAATATCGGGCTTTGTTGACTTTTTCAAATTTCGCCCAAGAACCCAAGAACTCAACAGGATAATAATATTTTCATACAATATAAGTATTTTTTAATTTAAATATATATAAGAATTTTCTGAACAGAAAATCAATTTCTTGATTACATTTTTGAAAGGGCGCAGAATAAAACAGCTTTGTTCAAATACAAGCATAAAAACTTAAGTTTGAAGAAGACGAAATATAAGTGAAAATAGGGATTGCTTTAATTTGCACACAAGCCGAGTTGGATAATATCCTAAAAACAGAAATTTTAAGCTTTTCAAATAGTAGAACGTAATAAGTAATGAAATAAATGGCACATCTGCTAGGCTAGAGCAATTGAAAGTTTTTAATTGTTCCATATCAAGCTGTCCCATGTGGGGCTTTTATTTTGCAAATGGGGCAGAGTAAAGCATTTAACTTAAGCTGAAGTCCACTTGGCTCAATTAAAAAAGTTGCGATTGCCAACTGAAAGCTAGTTAAAATTGTGTCTAAAACTTGGTTGAGTGCCGCATTATCTGCCGCCTGGCAACTTTGTGCGGCATCTAAATGCAACAGTTCTCTATGTATTTGTTGTTTGTGGCAAGTTGCGGCAATTGTTGGTAATTGCGACACTTAAATTGCGCGCCGTGGCTTACCTACAAAGTGTGTGGCAAGTTTTTGGGGCTTGCCAACTTTTGCTGGCCAACCAACAAAGCATTCGCTGAAACGTTGCAGCTGTCGTCGAGAGGAAAAGTCGAGGCGGGCGGAAAATTTCGCGAGCAAAAATGCTCGCATTTGCCGTGCCTGGCGGAAGTCGCAAATATCGTTGCACAAATGCTGCTCGATTATGTCTGCAATATGTTTGCGCTGCCACGCCCACTCACTGCTTGAGACAACAGAAAATGGGCGGTGCAACGTTGTTGTTCCAAGTCATTTGAGAGCGCAGGGCACAAATTGAGTGCATTTTCATTAGTTACAAGTTGTTGCATTTAATAAATTAAATTGCCGAGGCGTGCAACAACTGGAGAGACGCCTCAAAGGCTGCAATTACTTTTCATGGCTCACATTCTCTGTTAGCCTTGGGAGGGAGTGAAAAAACAAGAGCGAGAGAGAGAGAGAGGGAGAGAGTGGGAGATGGCTATCATTTGAAGTACTTCAACAGATAGAAACACGCAGAAACACAAACACGGACACACGCACACACGCACACACATACACGAAGCTTTTTGAAAAGTTTTTGCCACGCGCAACAAAAGTTGTCTATTACCTGCAGCCAAAAGGAATGCAAAAGAACAGGTTAACTTCGGCAAGCCGAAGATAAAATGCGCTTACAGACAGCGTAGAAAATCACGTAAATACTCTACTCAATGCCGCTATTTGTAATTAAATCTAAATAACTCCTATGCCAATTCCATATATAATATAATAAAGCAGTCGAAATTGTTACGTATCAAAAGCCGCAAATGGTTTATATGAGAGCTATAAGTTATAGTGAGCTGATCCGGCAGCTCTCGCTATATGTATATACTTATAGATCAACATTAGCTGCAGCAAGTTTGAAAAGAAAAGCTACATTAGTTCACATAGGTTGAATAGGCGGCAGCTGGCTTTATCGATGAAATGTATAAAGAAGCAATAAATGAAATGCCATAAATACTCTTATAGAATTATTCATAGTACTTTCTTCGCTTACATAAATTCATCACTCGTCCAAATGAGAAATAAAAAAGTTACATTCGAAAAAGTAATGTAAAGAAATCATGATTTAGTTGTACATCAACTGTTTGAGGGACAAATGCGTATTATGAAACCAGAGAGAACGAAGAAGAGCTGGAAATCGACAGCAAACTTTGTCGAGTCTTCGATGTGGAACAAATGTTCAAAGTTGGAATTGAGGTTAAAGTTATCGCAAGTCCCATAAATAACTGTGGCAGCATATGCTAAATGTCAGCTAGGTTTAATTTTGTGCGTTTCTGTTGTCTCAATTTCATGGCGCTTATGCAAAATATTTTTGCTTCACATTTAAATTAAAGGCCAAGGGCAAAATCTTTGTTATTTATGAAATCTGAAAATTGTGTATTTTTATTAAAAATTCTTATTCGATATTGCCAAAAGTCACGT